CATTTGGTCAAGTGAGCAAAAAACTACCTGCTCGCCCTTTTACTGGATCAATGCCGTTAGGCATGAAATACCCTTCCGGATCGTACAGAGCGGCAGCTCCGGCTGCGTCGCCAGAATTGAACGCTTTCATGAACTCCGCCTGACGAGATTTGATTTCTTGGAACAGAGCTGGAATTTTTTCCAACGTTTGAAATCGAACAAAAATGTTGCATGTGGAAATTTCAAAAAAAGCTTGACAGGGTATATTATCCTTGTTCTCTAAAGCGTGTGGAACCTGTGCACTCGTAAGCAATGTTTGAGATTGATGCGATTGCGATCCCAAGGCTCAAATTCGAAGAAGTAATGCACATGCATTGCCTAGAGTCGAAGAAAGCGGTTTTAAGAAGGCGTTTGAGAGAAAAGGATATGAGATGGCTGCATTTGGCGTTATTGACAGCGCTATGATCGTGACTGAAACTAGGTAAATTGGCCAGGGTTGCGAGTGCGATCATGCCTTCTTCCGATTAGATAATCTGACTCCCAGATTGATGAATGACAAATCTGCTCAAGAATTTTTGCTATATTTTAGCAGAGTAGAATCTTTGAGTTTCAAGCGCGAAAATGTTTGATTCCAGTAGCTCTGTGCACCAAGAGAGTTGCCCGAAATCATAATATAAAATGATTGAATTTTTTAGTTTTTCTACTGCCTGTGTTGAAAAATTGCTCAGTTTCAAATTTCACGCAAAACATAAGCGTACGTGTAATTTGATATTAAACTTTTTCGAAAACATCGTTCTGACTTGTCTGGTTCCATGTGTGAGAGATGCCATCAGTTTCTACTCAACTTTTACTTATTTGTAACTGAAACTTAGGCATGTACGGGAAACGAACTTAAAATTTTTGGATGTTGCACAAGAACACAAAATATCTTCCCTATATTTTAACTCTTAATCTCATTTCGTCTTATTAGAAAACTGACAAAAATTTCATTCCAACTTTCAAACTTTCACATATTTGCATTTAAAAACTGAGTCT